ATGTATAAAATCTTCATATTCCCTCCCCTATTAAAGTATCCCCCAGTTTCCCTGTTTACCCCTTGGTAACACCTGTCTCCTACTATCCTCCTCTTTTGATTTCCTTCTTTCCCTTTACCCTCGTGGTTCCTTTCCAGTTCCTTGGCTCCTGCATTTACATCTAGTTATATAATCACATCTATAACTATGTAACTAAGATCTACATATAAGAGAGAACATACATTATTTGCTTTTTTGAGTCTGTGTTGCTTTACTTTGAATATAAGTTTTAGTTCCATCAGTTTACCTTCAAACATCATGATTTTGTTTCTTTTACCTGCTGAGTTACATTCTGTTGTATAAATGAACCACATTTTCATTATCCATTCACTGGTTGAGGGACATTATGCTATTTTTTTATCAAATAGTGTAAAAACAGAAAGCATTCTAAGAGTGAAATTTCTTCCAATATTTCATTTGAGTTATGAAAGTAAAAAACTTAAGTGACTTTGATTTTTGTATTAAAAAAACAAGTAGTCATTTCATAGAGGAAGTTTGAGATCAAAGACAGTGCTTTCATCACCAATATCAATGCATTCCCTGTAAAATTTTGTCATTTCCTTCTAAATAATGAGTAAATCATGAAGTGCTCATGAAAGCAAATCCAGCTTTATTATTTTTAATGAGTTTTCTAAGAGTAAATTTCAGTATGTGTGTGTGTGTGTGCATGTGTGTGTGTGTGTGTGTGTAGCAGGAGGAGAAATAGGAGAGAAAGAGAGAGAGAGAGAGAGAGAGAGAGAGAGAGAGATGTTTGCACAGAGGAGTCAGTATACACGCAAGGGCAAAAGTGGGTCATCTACTTACCTCTACCTGATTACTTGATTTCTTTGCAACAAAGAAATTGTTGATGTCTTTGTATCCAATTGACCTCAGTCCCTCTGTGCTTTCTGATAGATTAGCTGTCCAATGAACCCCTAAGTGCTTATCTCCACTTTACCAGCATGTGGCTAAATGTGTGCTAAAATCCCTGGTTTTATTATGGGTGCTGAGAATCCAATTTCTGCTCTCCATTCTTTCATAGAAAGTTCTCTTACCCATTGAACCTTGTAACATAATATGTTAACATTTATTAGAAGTCACTATCAACCTCTTCCACATTTTCTTGATCTCATTTTTCGTTTCCTTATTCCTGAAAGTGTAAATCATAGAACTGAGCAATGATCTTAGTAAAGTAGCAAATATAACTACATTTTTCTCAAAGGAGAATGAGGATGTAGGTTGTGCATATATTAATATGCATGGGACAAAAAACAAAACCACGACAGTCATGTGGGATCCACATGTGGAGAAAGCTTTATGTTGGCCTTCAGAACTGTGAGCTCGCAGAGTAAACAAGATGACACCATAGGAGATCAGCAACAAGGAGAAGATTATGGTGCAGATAGACCCACTGTTGGCAAACACCAAAATGATGAAAATGTTTATGTCCTGTTTATGATGGAAGGGCTTACAAATGGCCACATAGGAGTCATAGGCCATGGCTATGAAGACAATCACCTCCACCACAGTCAAGAAGTGCACAGCAAAGACCTGTGTTATGCAACATTTGAAGGAAATGGTTTTCCTCTCATAGATCAAGTCTACAACTGTGGGTCTCTCCCTCCCCTCGAGGGCTGTAGGCCACCAATCCATGAGGACAAAGGGAGCAGAAGTGACGAGCTGGGTCAGGACGGCCAGTGAGCACAACAGAAAAGACTTTCCAGGGAGTCAGATTCAGTGATACAGCTCCGTTTATTCAGTGGGAGTCAGGGAAAGTATAGTGTGGAGGCAGCAGTCAAAGCTTCAGCTGATAGGTGTTCATAGTATGTTTTATTACATGTGGTGGGGGATACAGGCAGAGAGCAGGAGGCCCCCACTGAGAAGGGGAGTCCTTCCATATAGCGCTGAGCCCCTCAGAGCTATCTGGACATGGAGGACTACAACCTTAGCAGCAGGGTCCCACAACATACTATCATCTTAGGTGTGATAACAGAAGAAATGTATGTATCCAAGAAGGACAGGAAAGAT